AAATCCATGAAGCAGATGCAATTCAGAGAAGTGCTTAATCACTGTTTACTTAATTGCCAGGAACAATACAAACGGCTTTGGAGTAAAAAGGCAGAAAGAAAAGTCTGATGGAAACAATGGTTTTGTGACTGTTTAAACCCATAAGGGAGAAAAATGGTTCAAGACATTGGAGCTGTCCAGGGATGTTGTGCTGAAGCCCAGTTCACTTGGCCCCAGTTCTTTCCTGTTTGTTGTTTACAAATAGGCACCTGAAAAGCTCTTTATGAGGACAAAAACCTGGCCAGGAGGAAGCAAAGACAATTTTAAAGGGGATAGGAAATAGGAATAGGGAATAAAATGAATTATTTAACCCAGTGGGGTGGGCATGGGGGGGACTTCAGGTCTATGAAGAAATTTATTTTAAAGAATAAAGTGACCCTGTTATTTTTTCCTCTCTCAAACTCCGTAAGAGAAAAGGATAACAGGAAAACAAATGGGGGAGGGGGACAGGGAATTTAAGCTAATTACTGAAATAGTAGACTAAATGGAAGTTATGGAATTTATCATGAGATCTTTAAGACAAAGATGCCCCATCCTTAATCTGTTTGGATGGGTTTGATTCCTTTCTGCTTGAAGATTGGAAAATGATTACCTTTGAAGTTCTATTATCATTCTGAGATGAGTATCCTCAACCATTGATGAATCACTGATTGAAATGCCAAAAGAAAACCAGACACCATTGAAAATAGAGCCACCTAGTCAATGGCTAAAGAACTAGTGGTGTTGGGGTGGAAGAGGGTGGGGAGATATATGTCTGCTTCCATCCTTTGCTTTTCCAGCAACAGAAGCCTGAGGGAACAGGGACCAGGGATGCTGAACTGCTGATTAGGTTTATAACCCAGATGCTATTGGTTCTGATGAATTAAAAGAACATTAAAACTGTAGCCTGGGACACTGCATTTTTCATTTACCTAAATTGATTGCAGCATCAAATCTCTTAATAGTCTCTGAAAAGACAGGTTTGCTTTATCTAACCCTGGGTTCTCTGGAGTACTTAGAAAAAGTTGAGGCACTAGATTGATAGGGGAATTTGATTATCAAGACAGGAAGCACAGCCAGTCTCCTTAAGAAACTAATACTATGCAAGCCAGTTAGCTTAGGTATATTCTGTGGATAGTAGGCTTCACTTTTCACCCTAGTCAATTATCCTGAATGGGACAAAATGAATCCTGTTAGAATGAAGACTATGAAAGAGAGAGGGAGGGAGGGAGAGAGGAAGAGAGAAAGAGAGAAAAGAGAGAGAGAAAGAGAAAGGAGAGAGAGAGAGAGAGAGAGAGAGAGAGAATTTGATTACCACAGTGGCAAGGTAGAAAGGACATTGGACAGAAAGTCAGGAGACCTGGGTTCTAGTCCCAACTCATTCGTGAAGCATTTATTTAATACTTACTATGTGCAAGACATTGTGCTGGACACAGGGAATACCAAAACTGATGTCATGAAGCTAACAATTTAATGGGAAGGACAAGTACACAATGAACTATGATACAAAGGAGGGGAAGATGTGTGCAAAGGACAAGTCCAGCCAAAATGCTGTGAGAAATCTGAGCAGATACAGATCACCATCATTTAGTGGCAATGGAACCAAGGGCTGGAAAGTATCCAGGAATGCTTCATGGGGAAGATGGCATTCATTCATTCATTCATTCATTCAGCAGGCATTTATTAAATATCTGCTATGTACTAAGTTCGGGGAATACAAAGACAAAAATGAAAAGAACCTTGCCCTGAGGTAATCTTTATTGGGGAAAAACAATATGTACACAAAATAAATACAGAGTAATTTCACTGGGGAAGTGCACTAACAAATAGAGAGAGTAGGATAGGCTGCATAACAGGAGATGGCATTTCAGCCAAGTGGAGAAGTGCTACTTTGGCAATTGGTAGCTCAGTGGATACAGCCCTGGGCCTGGAGTCAGGAAAACCTGAGTTCAAATCCAGCCTCAGACATTTACTAACTTTGTGACCCTGGATGAGTCACTTAACCCTGTTTGCTTCAGTTTCCTCATCTGTAAAATGAGCTGAAGAAGGAAATGGCAAACCACCCCAGTATCTCTGCCAAGAAAACTGTAAATGAGGTCATGAAGAATCAGACATGACTGCACAAGGATCTAGACAGAGATTGATGGTATGGGGATGATTAGTAGATATACATTCCAGGAATGGAAAATAATGTGAATAAAGTCACAGATATTATAAGATCACACATTAAGAGCTTAAAGAGACCTTGGAGGTCATCACATACAAACCCCTCATTTTTCAGATGAAAAAACTGAGGCTAAGAGAAGTTAAACCCATGGCCATATAGCTAGTGTCTGCTACAGGATTTGAACTCAGGTCTTTCTGACTCTAAAGCCAGCAAGAAGCAATATGAAAATTGGGGTAAGGGTGGAAGGTAGTCAAATTTGTGTGCATCACAGAAAATATGATGTATGGATAAGGGTGGATAGTTAGAATGGCACTAGTTGGTAAAATGCCTTGATTGCTAGAGTCGAGTTTTTATTTTATTAGGTAGGCAATAGAGAGTCACTTAAAAATTTTAATTAGAAGAGTGATATAGTGAGAGTGATGCATTAGGAAGACTATGTAAGAAGCAGGGTGAAGGATGGATTGGATAGGGGAGAGACTGTTACTGTGTAAATTTGGATGTCATTTTTCCCTTTCTAAGCCTCAGTTTTCTCACCTGTAAAATAAGAGTTGTGAACTGGATGACCTCTAAGGCCCCTTCTAGCTGTGGAATTTTGTGATGCTAAAACCATTCTTCATTGGTAGATAAACAACCCAAAGATGACAGGTCACAAGTCATCTTCATAATTAAAGGACACCCTAATGAAGACTCATTCTTTGTCAGTTTTCACTTTCTCCATATTTCCTGTTTTAGCCCCAGGGTTATCTCTGCTTGGCAGCTGGTCAGTTTGTACCAGCAACTTCTTCACTAGAGCCCTGGGTTGAGGTAACTTCAATCAGATTTAGGATTTCCCTAGTGTTTTCCATCACCCCCCTCTGTGACAGTCTCATAAATAGCTACTCTCTCCCCCTTGCTCTGGGTCAGGCTGATGAATCTCTCCATGGGCTGTCACATGCTTGAGAATTATTTGCAAGGTGACTTTCTGCAAATCCATTCTGCACTCCATTTCCACTCACCCTGAGGTCCCACTTCCTCCATGAGATCTTGAGGGCAGTCTTCTTGGCCTTGTTCCATCCCCAACTACAAGGGATGAAGAGAGAACTACTTTCTGATGTTCTACTACAAAAAGGGCCTTCATGATTGAGTTCATTCTTTGGCACCTCATTTCTATGCAGTTCATGGTTTAAAAAAATGTAGCACCAAGACTATTCCTTTCCTGCCTCTTTCCTCCCAAACCTTTGCTGGGCCAGGTTAATATGGCTTGAGCTTGACAAGCCTTTAGACTCCAGTAAGAGGAAGGATGGCACAAGTTCAAAAATGTTGGACTTGAATTTAGGAGACCCAGATCTAACCTGATCCAGGCACTAATTAATGGTGTGGCACCATGCAAGCCATTTGACTCCTCAGAGCCTCAGTTTCCTCATCTGCAAGAGAAGCATAATAATACTACTAGCTACTTCAAGGGAGCTGAGAGAAAAGTGCTTTGCAAAGCTCAAAGCACCATATAAATGTGAGCTATTAATATCTTCCTGCTACAGGACTTCCCATTCTCCTCACTCCCACTTTTCAGTTTCTCTCTAAACTTGAATAAACTGGGTGGGGTGGCTCACCTACCTCTTTCCCTCTTTGAAGATCTTCCTTTCTTTTTCTCTTTCCTCTTCTTTCCTTTTTCCATTGACCTTTCTAGCATCTTACAGCTGGTTCATCCCTCATTTGCTGCCCCACTTCCATATCCAGTCCATAGAAGAAATCTTCCCAGTGGTGGAGTTGGGCAGATACAACTTCTTGACTTCACTTGTCCCTCTTGATGCCTCCCACAGTGACAGGATGACATGGTTCCTATAGCACACAAGAAAGACTCAGCCTCTAAGTTAGCTCAGGGAAATGGGTAAGTAACAACCCTCTCAATCATGGGTGGTTAGTGGTGGAGTGCCTTAGGGACCCCAAGATAGCTGGAGGTGGGATGGAAACATGGTTGGAAAAACTGAGAAATGAATGAGTAGAAATACATGCAGGGGGGAGGACTCATTGATTTTCACCCTAGAAGTAGTTAGGTGGTGCGGTGAATAGAGGGCTGGTCCTGGAGTTAGGAAGACTTGAGTTCAAATCCAGCTTTGGACATTTCCTGGCTGTGTGACTTTGGGCAAATCACAACTTCTTTTGCCTCAGTTTTCTCAGCTGTAAAATGGAGATAATAGCACCTCCTCCTAGGGTTCTTGTGAGGATCAGATGAGATATTTGTAAAGCATCTGGCACATAGTAGACACTATATAAATTCTAGCTATTATTATTATTATTATTAGAGGTGGAATGCTTGTATTTGGGACCCTTCCTAGCTTGGTGCCTCAGTTATTCCCTTTGAATAAGGGAAGAACTGGTGAGGATAGGACATATCTGGGCCAAGCGCAAGAAGACCTGGTAAGATGTGGAGACAACTTCAAAATGGGGGACAGAGAGCCCGATCTTGGGAGAAAAGGAGTGTCTTTCCCCACTCGATGTACACACCCCACTTTTCCAAGCCGTGAGGTCAGCAACAATGTCCTTGAGTTGAGCACTAGCAAGGCTGGTGCGAGGCTGAGCAAAGGGGCTCACAAAACGACCCTGAAACCCTTAGCAGGGTCAGGTTCTCCCGCCAGCAGCACCAGCAGCACCAGCAGCACCAGCACCAACTTCCCCGCTCTCCTCCCCCACACTGCAGCTGCTCCCCCGCCTCTCTCGCCCATTGATCCGTAGTTCTCCCTCCCTCCCTCCCTCCCTCCCACCTCTGGCTCGGGCGCAGACTGCTAAGCTCAGCAAGTCTTGCAGCAGAGACACTTCGAAGCGGAGTTGGGGCAGAGACAGACCAAGGGACCCGGTCCCGTGGAGACAGATGCATCCTGGCTAGATTGCTACCACTGCCGCATCTTCCCAACCAAGCACCCTCTCTTTCATCGGGAGAGCCCCTTTCTCCCCAGCTCCCTCGGGGCTGCACCCCGGTGAGTCTCTCCTCGTGGGGCACCTACCCACCTCCTTTAAAGTTTCTTCTTGGAGATAGGGAGTGGCGTTTCTTTTCGGGGCGGCAGGACTGAGTAGCTGCAGGGTCGGATCCTTTCCCCTTTGAGGTGGGTGCATAGAAGCAAAGCCCGGGGTGCTAAGGACTTAGGGTTTTATTGGAAGGGAGTCCCCTATGTATAAGTGGACGAAGCGGCTTTGGAAGTGGTTTCCCTCCACCAGCCCCCCAACCCCCAGGGGGCGAGGAGGAGATGACTCCTCGGTCTGAACAAGGTAGGGCAGCCCAGAGTCCCAACATCTCAAGGTGACAAGCTGCAGAGGAGGAAGGAGCAGGGGTTCGCACCCCAGTCAGGTCCTCCGACACTCCCGTGGGACCAGGGACCTTACTCTCTAGTTCCATTCCGGGACCTCCAAGGCCAGCCCCCTCTCACAACCCCCGACAGGGCAGAGCCGTCGGGGAGTTCGGTAGCACCTGCAGAGGGCTCTGGGGGAAAGCCTGCGGCTTGAGCTGTCAGTGGGATTGATGGGGGGGTGGGATAGGGGGAAGAGCATAGAGACCCTGAAGTGGGGAAGGAAAGATGGTGGAATAGGCAATAGGGGATATCTGGAAGTGGGGACCCAAAGGAGGCAGGGCACCGAGGAAAAGGGAGATAGGAGACCCCTTGCCCTCTGCCCAAATCCCATGACTCAGCATGTTTCTGCCCCTTCCCAGGTTCCCTTGCCAGTTCTCTCTCCTGCCAAGACTCTTAGGGTAAGCAAGAGCTGGGGTCATATGTCCCTATGGCCTCCTTCATTCTTCACTTCTGGGGGCTACCAACACCTTGAACCTCTACCTCTCTCCCCCTCCTCTGGACTGCCCCACCAAAGGGAAAATTATCTGTCCCATTACTTCTATCTCTCCTGCATCCCTGACCTTTCTCCCCTCAAGAATCTCCTTAAGGTCTCTTTTATCTCTCTACCCCATCCCCTCTGCAAAATCAGAATGCCTCCCCCTCTGTCTACACCAGTACCCCCCTCCCCCTCTTCATACACTTTCCCACATAGGTGGGTCTAGGATTGGGGGCCCATAGGACAGTAGAGTCATAGAATGTATTTTTAACTTAAAAAATGTTAAAGCTAGAAGTAATTTAAAGATTATCTAGTCCAAATGCCTCATTTTACAGATGAGGAAGTTAAGGCCCAGAGGGGAATGTGATCTGCCCAAGGTCACAAAGGGAGGCAGTGGCAGAATCCAAATTAGAACTCAAGTTTTATGATTCCCAGTCATTCTTTCTGCTCAAATTCCCTGCTTTCCCGTGTCTATCCACTGCATTCCAAATGAATGACTGCCTGAACAGTCCTGGGAACCTAGACAAAGGGTGGGAAAGAGAAGAATTGGGCCCCCTGGGTGGCCTAGAAGCCATCAAAAATAGGGTAAAAACCTCCTCCTCTGGGATGGCAAAGAGGTGGTGGAAGGGGAAACATTAGCGAGGTGGAGGGAGAAAAGAAGTGATGAAATGAGAAGGGCTGCTGAAGAAAAAGGCTCTTGTGGTCTCTTGGCAAGAAGCAAGAAACAAAGGGTAAAGGTGGGATGGAGAACTGAGCTGGGATTGAGCAGGTAGAGGCTAAGGGAGGTCAAGCAGCCCCAAATGGGGTGGAAGCTGGGGGTGGGGGAACAGGGCACTGTAGTTTTGATTTTTACAGAGTTGACTGATGAGAGGGTAGAAAGGAGAAGGAGAAAATGGTAAGACCTCATAGAGGTTTGAAAGTGTGGTGGCTGTTTGAAAGTCTCCCTGCCTCAACACATTAACAAGGGTTTTTTAGGGTGGGGGGGGCTGTAACCATTTCCTATCTTCTTCTCTCCATCCCAGTGGCCCCAGCAAAGGGGTTGCAAGGGAGGGGTGGAAGAGAAAAAGACTTTAATCCTTTTAGCCTCCTTCCTCTGATTCTGGCCCAGACCACCTACTTCTTAGCACTATTTTACCGCTTTGCCAAGGAAGGTTGAAGATCAGAGTAGGGGGCAGGACTCTGGCCCTGGGGCCAAGAGAGCTCTGATGCAGTGAGACGTGCCTGGTGGGAGAGCTGGGCCTGGCAGGCTCTGCAGTCTGCAGCCTTCTCTCAGGACACAGCAGGTGAGTCAGCTCCTGGAGCCCACACCATAACATACTGCCACCTAGCCCTGGAGGCCCTGGTGCCAACTGCTCCCTATTCTGTCAGAGTCAGGGGTCCACTCATGGGTCCTGTGCAGTGAGTTCCCCATGACTGCTCATGTTCCTTCAATCATTCCTCCTTATTTGGGCTGCCTTTTCATTGTGGTGTAGGTAGGGTATCTAAGTGGAATGTAGTGGAATCTGAAATCTCATGACTTGGCTTTGAATTCTGTATCTATTGCTGATTAACTTTGTGACTTTGGATAAGTCCCCTTCCTTCTTGGATGATGCACTGGGCCTGGAGTCAGAAAGACCTGAATTCAGATCTGGCCTTAGACACTTACTAGCTGTCTGGACCTGGGCAAGTTTGCCTCAGTTTTCTTATCTGTAAAATGGGGAGAACAATAGCACCTACTTCCCAGGGTTGTTGTGAGGATCAAATGAAATAATATTTGTAAAGTGCTTAGCATGATTCCTGGCATATAATAAGTATTATATAAATGTTAGCTATTATTATTGTTATTATCATTATTACTAATCTTTGAAGTATCTTCTAGGTCTAAATCCATTGATGTTCAATCATTGGGGACAGATCCCAAGCTTGCTCACCTTAGAGGGCAGTATAAGGAGGGTCTAGAGTAGGGAATCCTTCCTCTTGGAGGCCATGTATAGTTTAGTCCCCTATATTAACTTTGGGAGTGCCATGGGCAAAGAAGACAGATGATTGTCAGCCCAGAGTGTCTTAAACTAGCCTTCCTTAATCATCCTCCCCCCTTATTCTCATGTGTACTTCAGAAAATGGGCAGAAGAAGGGCAAGTAGACTCCCTTCTGCCAAGGGGAGCAGGTGCTATTGACCAGGCTGCTGGTTTCACAGACGTGGGTTACTGGAGCATTTGGCTATCCATGGCTCCTTATTATCTTAGATTGTGGGGCAGGTGGGCTGGGGGAGAGCTTTGTAAGGAAGGAAGTGGGTGTGGTGCCCAGAGCTGATTGCATCTGGAATCACACTATGTCTTGGACTGGATTTCTTCTTGGGCAAAGAGAGCATTTGGTTGATGAAGTGTTGAACTGAGTTGGGTTGGGTTATTCCTCTGCCATTGGGTTGGAATCCTTTTCTAGAGTCTGATCTAAATTCTCCCTAACCTAGCATAGTGGCCTATTCTCTCCTTTCCTCCCTTTGTGCCAAAAAGGAGTCTCTGAGCATGTGCCGCCGCTATTCAGCCCCTCACACTTCCAGGCTGCAGAAAAAAGCCATAGAGCTCCAGTCAGAGAAACCCCCTGATCCCATCCCTACCCTCATCTAGTCCTAGTCAGTGGAGAAGGAAAGTTGGTGTCTTTCCAAATAAGCCTTATAGCTTTGCTATCAAAGATACAGATGACCTTGGATTTCCCTGTGTTCAGTAACCCTACCTCTATAATGTTGAAGCCAAATATCTCTTCCTGAACCCAGCCCATGCATCCACCTGGAGAGAAGGGAAGCTGAGTATTGGAGGGGAGAGAGAGTAGTGAGATAAAGAGCATGAGAAAGGAGAGGTACCATATGTCAACTGGCCGTACTGGAGAAATGAAATTATAGCCAATGAGTCATTATCAGAGAATCCCAACATCGGAAGGGGCTTCGGAGACAACCAGCCTAACCCTTACTTGAATCAGTTCTCTCCTGCTTCAGCATTCCCAGGAAGTTGTCATCCAGCCTTTGCTTTGAAAACATTCACTGATAGGGAGCTCACTACTCCTCAAGGCAGTCTATTCCATGACTGGGCAATTCTAATTTTTAGGAAGTTCTTCATATTGAACTGAAATTTGACTTCCCCAAAGAAGAATGGAAGCTCTTTAAGGGCAGGGACTGGCACATAAATGAATAAATAGGTGTTTATTAAACACTTACTTTGTACAAAGCAACCTATGAAGTGCTGGGGATAGAAATAGAAAAGCAGAATGGTCCCTGCTCTCAAGGTGCTTTCATGAGAGGAGAAGACAACAGTGATAGGAGGTTTCAGCTGAAAGTCAAGGGGAAAGGTCCCTTGGTTTTTAGGGTACAGCAGAAAAGCAGATGGTAATGCATCTTCTTTAATGTTTCTCCCACTGATACCAACATATCTGGTTTCTGATGCTGAATGTTTGACAGAGCCAAGGACTTTGGCATCAAGACTTTTATTTTCTGGGTCTTTCAGTAGCTGTAGTTGGAGGAGAACCAGGAGAGAACAACATTAAAAAAAAAAAAACAACCTATGGAGAAGTGGTTATTTAAAAAAATGGGATCAATAATGTCAGCTTCTGCAGAAAGGGCAAGAAGAGGATTCAGAAAAGGCCATTAGGTTTGGCAATTAAGAAATTGCTGGCAAATTTGGACTGGGCAGTTTGGGTTGAGGTGGGAAACCAGATTTCAGAAGGTTTTGAAAAGAGTGGTAGGAGAGGGAATGGAAGCAATTCCCAAGAGTTTAGCTGAGAATGGGAGGGAAATAGAATGATAGCTAGCCAGGATGGCTGGCTCAAGTGAAGGTTTTTCCTTTTTTTATGGTGGGGGATATTGGATCCAGGAGGGTTTTTCCTTTTTTTATGGTGGGGGATACATAGATGTGTTTGTAGGCAGCAGGGAGAGAGCCAGTAGATAGGGAGAGATTGAAGATCAGAGTGAGGATTAAAGATTAGAGAGGAGATAACTGGGACAATCTGACAGGGGAACATGGGAGGGGATGAGATCAAGGGTGCCTGTAGAGGGGTTGGCCACGGCAAGGAGAAGGGCCACCTATTTATCAGAGACAGGAGTGAAGGAATAAAGGGAAGTTGGAGGAGCTAGGGTTATTTAGTGCGGAGCAAAGAAGACCAGGGGTAGAAGGGCACATCTTCAGGC